TGGTGGGTGGCGTTTCATGTGATCAGAGTGCAGGTTGTCAGTGATGGAAGGAAGGTATTGATGAGGTTGTGGAGAAGTGAGTAGTTGAGCAGAGAGAGTGGATGAAGTGTTGACTGACCGACTGGCTGATGAATAATTGACTGTCTGAGGTGTGTAGATATGTGAAGCTGAATTGAGAGATGGAGATGGAGTGATTGAGTTTGTGAGTGAGGTTTTCAGGCAGTCAGTCAGTCAGCTTGTCGTGCAGATTTCCCATCACTGATTCTCTGACTTCTTTACAAGTATCCAGGTGACACAGGTGGTTCGCTAATCCGATTTACAGCTCACACATCACTATTTCACACATTTCCTCAATTTTTCATTCACTCACCCATTCAATCAATCATTCATTAATTGATTCAATCACGCATTCATTAGTTTATTCATTCATTCAGTCATTCATTCATGCACTCCTTCAATACTTCAATCATTCAATCACCACCGATCAAAAAGTAAAAGCTAACATCACAGAACGAAACCGCACAGCACTGCGCAGCACAAAATTACTCAGCGCAACGAAACGCAACACTGCGTCAATAGGTTTAATAATATATATCTGTCTCTCTATCGACTTGTCACCCACAATCTCGCCAAATCACAAAATATCTCTCACTCTCCCTCTCCCTCTCCCTCAAACTCGCCTTTTTATATCATTATCCACTGCATCTACCTCTCCGCCTAACTCCGTGTGTGTGTGCACAGTAGGAGTGACGAGATCCACCGATCGAATGGAAGACAGGATGGTGACAGGTGAGTGAGAGATAACTTGTTTGCATTTCCGATGTTTGACGATGTGATCAGTGGTGGGTGGCGTTTCATGTGATCAGAGTGCAGGTTGTCAGTGATGGAAGGAAGGTATTGATGAGGTTGTGGAGAAGTGAGTAGTTGAGCAGAGAGAGTGGATGAAGTGTTGACTGACCGACTGGCTGATTGAATAATTGACTGTCTGAGGTGTGTAGATATGTGAAGCTGAATTGAGAGATGGAGATGGAGTGATTGAGTTTGTGAGTGAGGTTTTCAGGCAGTCAGTCAGTCAGCTTGTCGTGCAGATTTCCCATCACTGATTCTCTGACTTCTTTACAAGTATCCAGGTGACACAGGTGGTTCGCTAATCCGATTTACAGCTCACACATCACTATTTCACACATTTCCTCAATTTTTCATTCACTCACCCATTCAATCAATCATTCATTAATTGATTCAATCACTCATTCATTCATTTATTCATTCATTCAGTCATTCATTCATGCACTCCTTCAATACTTCAATCATTCAATCACCACCCATCGAAAAATAACACAAAGCAACACAAGACAACACAACACAGCAGAGCACAAGACCAAGCAACAGTACACAACAAAACACAACACAAAACAGCAGAGCACAGCGCAGCGCAGCACAGCACAGCACAGCACAGCACAACATAAATCAACAGAACACAACACAGCACAACACAACACATGACAGTGTCAATCAGTTTATAATTATATCTCTGTCTCTCCATCTCTCTGTCACCCTCAATCTCGCACTCTCACTCTCACTCTCACTCTCCTCCTACCTCTGTGTGTGTGCACAGTACCAGTGACGAGATCGACGGTTCGAATGGAAGACAAGATGGTGACAGGTGAGTGAGAGATAACTTGTTTGCATTTCCGATGTTTGACGATGTGATCAGTGGTGGGTGGCGTTTCATGTGATCAGAGTGCAGGTTGTCAGTGATGGAAGGAAGGTATTGATTAGGTTGTGGAGAAGTGAGTAGTTGAGCAGAGAGAGTGGATGGAGTGTTGACTGAGTGATTGATCGATTGATTGATTATCTGAGTTGTGTAGATGTATCAGTGTGAATTGAGAGATGGAGATTGGGTGATTTAATGAGTGAGTCAGTTAGTCAGTCAGGCTGTCTTTGGTTTTTCACTTTGCGACTCTTCCCCTGTTTGCTGGTTTTAGTGCGCCGACGTTTGTGTGGATTTTTCGTACATATTAGGGACCCTTGAAGCATCATTTTTTCCTATCTTTTATGAAATTTCAAAAGTGAGGCAGAATATAGATTTTGCACTAAACAGAATTAGTCCTTACAGGAATCGCTGGTGCATAATCACGCCGGTTGTTGGAAGCCTTCGTGAATTCACTTGGCCGATATGTCTACCTCGATGCAAGCGAAAGTAAACCTGGGGACATGGAATGTCCGCACCATGTTTGAACCTACCAAGGCTGCCTAGATTGCAAACGAGTTCAGAAGGTGTCGTATTGAAATGGTAAGAATTTACGAAATCAGAGTTGTGGATTGGCTATCGTGATGTCTCCAACAGCATCAAAGGCTCTCATACAGTGGGAAGCTATCTCCTCCAGGATCACAACAGCAAGGTTCAACTCAAAAGGAAGGAAAGTCACAATCATTCAACGCTACTCTACTCACCCTTAAATAATGCAGATGAAGAGAAGAAGGAGGAATTCTACAGACAACTGCTGAAATCAACACTGGACAACACCCTACCCCAGTTGGCGACATCAAAATTCTAATGGGCGACGTGAATGAGAAATTGGGAGTGGAAAGCACAGGAAGAGAACTAACCATGGGTCGAGAAACACTCGGTGAGGTGATCAACGAGAATGGAGAATTGTTTGCAGAATTCTGTGCATTCAACGATTTGGTTATTGGAGGTGAGGCACTGTGTCCAAGCACAAGGATATCCACAAAGCGACATGGTTTGGATTTCACCAGATGGACACACTACACTGAGAATCAGATCGACTTTGTGCAAATCTCGAGAAAGTGGAGACGCAGCCAACTTGACACAAGATGAAGAAGAGGAGAAGATGTAGGCTCAGACCAGTCACTGTCTAGTGCAAGGAACCTACCTTTCAAATCAAGTTGAAAGCCATCAAACAAGCTGGTGGTGATAGACCACAGTTCAAGTTCAACACTCAGACGAGAAACTGAGGGACGAAACTAGATAGGACATCTTCACGTCAGCCATCAAGACAAAATGGGAGATATCGAGCAGCATCCGTGAAGAAACCTGTGTGGATGAGCACTGAAACTCTTTGAAAGCCAAATGGAAAGAAACCTGCACAACCGTATTAGGAAGGAAGAAGAAAGAAGATAAGGAATGGATCTCGATGGATACATGGAAGGTGATAGAGTGAGGCGAGGAGGATGGTGGAGCAGAGGATAAACCAGTGCAAGGATGCTCAACGACGAGAAGGGGAACTGATTACAATGAATAAAACACAGCAGTGCGCAAAGAAGTGAAGAAGAGTGCAGGGAAATAGAAAAGACACTTCCACGACACATTGGCAAGTGAAGCAGAACAGGCTGCAGGTAGGAGAGACAGGGACCTGACAACATTGTATCAAATAACCGGGTTACTATCTGAGGAGAGGGAAGAGATCAACACATGAAACCGATACAAGATGGTGGAGGGAACCTAATCACCGAAGACGGGGAAGAAAGGAAACGATGGGCTGACCACTTGAAGAAGCTCTTGAATCGAAGCGGTAGAAAGTAGATTGGTGGCCTAATGAATAATTCAGTGGGATGATGCACCAGCCCAACCAGTAAACATGTGAAGAGAAGTGGATGTGTCAGCTTGTGAATTTCGCGTTATGCGTGGATGAGTGGATGAGAGGAGATATCATGTGTCAGCTTTTCGTTCAGGTTTCTCTTATGTCTTTTACTGATTCAAGTGTGATTAATTGTGGCAGGTGGTTTGCTTATCTGGTTTACAACTCAACCATCTCTATATCAAGCTTTTACTGAATTGTGATTCTATTCCTCTATTCAATGATTGTTACATTCTTCCGTTTTTACTTGTTGTTTCTTTCGTCGATTTCCTTTTTCTTCGTTATTTTGTTTGCAATGATTCATTCCAGTCTGTTCTCTCAATACTTTTTATGGCTGTTTGTCTCTTGCTGTTTTTAATTGGCATGGATATTTTGGAAGTAGTTAAGCTTATTTCGCGTTTTATGTAACTTCGTTGGAAAGCTGCATGTTTTGTGCGTTTCGCTTATGATGGTGTATGATGTTTTCCTCTTGCTTATTTCCTGTCCATCTATGTTTTTTGAATTTGTATAACTGAGTCCGATTGTTTTAATGCTTTTTGATAGGATTCGGAAAGAAGAGTTTGCACGACTATCTGTTTGTTTCAGCCACTTCCCCATTGCTCTTTAAATGTCCCACAGAAAATTTTGGAAGTCTACATGTAACGGTTTGTGTGTTGTTCATATCCTTGATGAAATCAATGCTAGATATTAGGCATCGTTAGCACTCATTGATTTCAATGTGACAACAAAACTACTCTGTGCTTAAATTGAGTAGTGGATTCACTTTGACACTGGCTCTCGTGGCATATTTAGGCAGTAGTTTGTGTAGCACATGGATCGAAATTTCAAAATTTACTGCTCTGTGATTGACAAGTGGACACCTTCAGTCGACTTCTTCCACTAGTGGAACTCTAGAAGTCCTATCAAACAAAACAGAGTATGGTGTTCACAGTTCGCATCTTGAAATTTTATTTACAAAGTCGAGTGCTCACGTCTCACTGTACTGGAATCTCTGTGCAAGTGAAATTGTAATCACATTTGGTCCATTGACCATATGTGTTTTCTTCCATTACATCAACAATCTCCTTCGCATTCACATGTGATGCACTCAGGCAACAACATTCACCTCTACTCCACGTCGTATGTACACCATCGTCACACATTTACACTCACCTACCGACCATTTCATTCCAATTTCACATGGTGTACGCATTCCATTCGAAATGATGTCGTTGTCGACAGCTCGCTTCGACTGTCACAATCCACCACCAGCTCTGTCAGGTTCACGCTTCTACCTCAGAAACACTTATCCAAACTCAATAATTAAGGCCAATATATCATTCATGCTTGATATCATTTACTATACTCATCTCCTGAGGAATTTTCGCTTTCACCGTGATTACTTTGATTCATTTCCAGAGAGCTCTGAGGTTACGCGGTCTCAGGAAGTTACGGGGATATACGAGGCTGGATATCTAACAGGTACGAATATTTGATGCTGCTCGTTGATCATTTGATAATGAAAACAGTATTGTGTTGCACCATCTTCATAGGATTGATTATATTATTGTTTTGCACGACTTCGCTTGTTGACTATAGAGGAAATCGTCTGAATCCATGATGAATGCAGTGTGTGTCTGAAATGTGTGTCTGACATGTGTCAATGGACTGCTCTATGATTCTAGTGGTGATGTTCAGCAAGGAAATCAGAATTCACCTTCTGTAAGGAGTGTCACATGTGCACTGCATATGGGTTGATCCGTACACATTGACGTCAAGCATACACCTCCATCATGCAAGATACGAGATGAGTTGATGCGATAGTTCCTGACAACTGAGTAATTGGTTTCGTGCTGTTGATTCGTGGGTGCTCACGGATGTAAACTATTCCGACTATACTGAGTGTGGTTGGTGAGCCTTCGTATCTGATGAACATTTTCATCAGAATTTTCATTTGTGTTGGCAACAAAATGATGTTGATGGTGTTATTATTATTATTATTATCCCGTCGTTGATTGCACCGAATTGACTGCACTTCATTGAGACTCACTCGTGCCTGCATGAAGCCAGTGCAAGACAGTGTTGTTGAAGATATTTGTGACCAGATAGTAGATTTCGTGTTGAAGTTTGTCACTGAGTGAAGGGTGACTTGAGAACACTACTCTTAAACTTGCTGCAAGGAATGTTCTCTCCGACGAGTTTGACATACTTGTATCTTGGATGTCAACAAACAGATCGTGTTCAGTGGTGAGGTTCATTTGTCATGCAAAGTCTCTGCTGTAGTTAGCAAGTCCTATCTGGGAGGTGAGTAATCGCCAATCATCAAAAGTTTTATTAGCCTTCTCATCTTCTCATCCATGAAATCTGTGCTGCATTGCACAAGATGCTAATTTCTCACTCAATCAGGAGGTACTCAGTTGCAGAAATTTGTCACTGGTCCATTGTATGACAGCCTTGTGTGCAACCATCTCCTCAAACTTCCACCAGTCTTTCCTCTCAATCCCACATGCAGATGAGGATTGCCTGATCCATTTTCCCTCTCAATAGTCATCTTCCTCGTTGAACGTCTGCAATTGAACACTGACTACAATACAAGTTTCAAATCACACATAATATCATGATTGATGAGAATGTCATTGATGCACATTTTTCGTGGTGAGGTGAAATCTGGAGACTGATCGTGAAGGCACACATACAGTGCAACACACGAAATATGGAGAGTTATATGTAGTATTGTGGAATATTAGTGAAGGAAAAGTTGTGGAGATGACTGGTTGCTTAGAAGTTTGGATTTCGTCGAAGCTACGACAACTCGCAGTAGACTCTAGTATAGGATTCGAAGTCAATTTTCGTCAATTGCCACAGACATGTCGCACAGACTGTCTTTAAGATAACAAGTCAACTAACTATTCTATGTACGAAAGACTGGTTAACCATAACGGAACACTGGATATACGAGAGCATCTCCTGTTCCAGAGCCAGTGATAAAACAAGTTTCATTTGTAGGAAATGGAGTAGTACAGACTAGCGAACTTCACTTCTGTAGAGATTCATCAAATGTACAAAATTGGAAACGGGATATGAAGAGGAATAAATTGCAGACTATGGATTTATAGAATATATTTTCTCAGTCTCCACATTGCCACTCCCTAGAAGATGACGACAGACTACTCGAGGAAGCTTGTAAGGCATCGTTAGACGGAAAACAGGATAATCTGTATAATTGTACAACATATCACGTAACAACTGATGTGGAATTTATGTACATTGGTGTGTTGAAAATTCGTAATGCAATTCATGCATACTTGTAAAAAGGAAAGTAACCAGAAATGTGTGCAAGTAAAATCTATGCTTACAATTCTTTTGCATATTTCCCTTTGGAAATGACCAACTTATGTTAAACCAAGAATAATAACAGTGGTATTTTTACCTCAGTTGTTTCTGGTGCGAATTCTTCAGCTAATTTCTCATCAAAAGGAATGGATGGGAAGAAGTGCTAAGGTAGTGTCACTAGCATGACACTGAAAAATAATCCTGTCACACCTTCAGATGCCTCATACGTATGTGACATACTTATGTGCTTGAGGCCGTCAAAGGAGGTGAATCCATCATTTACTCTGAATTTGGTGATTGGTTGGTGAAAATGTTCATCAGGTTTTCACCAGAATTCTCTACAGCCTGAATTGTCTCGACAAAAATACTGACTGGTGGAATTTCTGACAACCAATGAAGTGTTTACGCAATGAAATAGTCTGTTATGTAGACTTTTCAGATGAAGGGTGATCGAACTACTCAATTGCCTATATTGATAACGCTTGAGAGTGAGGTTTAGAAGAGAAGTTGACGTGAAAGTTGTTGTGAATGAGCAGTGTGCAAACATTTCACAAATGGTTACTAGTCCTCAGTCACGTAATGAAAGTAACACATTCAGTTTCACTTACCGTTCAACTTCCTTTGGATTTTCGTAGAGACATATGGCATGCCATGCAGCGCACTTAGGCTATCACAGGAGTATTTCGTGTAAAAGCAACTAATGACTGTGAAGAGACTGCAGACAGTGAAGACATCGTACTCACGAGTACTTCGAAACACCAAACCTTATTCTAAATAACCAAATGAAATATGAAGCCTGCAATAATTTGTTGATGGTAGAGTCAGTAGAAATCAAAACTTGGTACTTCACTTCACTTCACTTAATTTGAATTTTGTTTAACATTTCACAGAGAAGTTTGTCTGTCTTCTTCACCTCCAGTTGACAGCAGCAGAAAAGCGTTCTGGTTAATTCAGGAAAGAACGGATGCACTCGTATTCGGATGGTCGCCATTTCTCCAAAAGAATATCAGGAAGCTGGTTTTGGAACAGGATATCCCACTTGCCTTTGATCCTTCCACCACTGTCAGTGGGGAATCCAGTGGAGTTTTAGAGGTTATTGGAACAGCCTGTGAATCCTCAAAGTTCAATATTGTAGGCAAAGATCCTGGCTTCTTCTATGATTCAGTTGTTGAAACGCGTAACCTACTGTACAAACGTGGTGAGTTCCATTCATTATTCCTATCGTGTAATAACAGTGAAATCGAAATAAAGACGGCTTATTCTACTACTCAGACAGTAGTAAATTCACTAGCGTCACTCTCCTCATTCGTCACATAGATATTTAAGAGTCTTCAGAAGCTTTTCATAATGCTGGCATATATTTCGATTCAAACAGTGTGTGTTGAAGACAGCAGAATTGCGCACAACCACAAGATCTATTTCGACTACTTTTCTATGTTTTGTCTTCTCTTTTGCATGCTTCGACAGTTCCAAGGATACAGAATGTGCAGGTGGCGGAGAAATCAAGCAGAAGTTCACGTGTAACCTGGCAGCAAGAAACATCTTCTTGTGGCAACAATGATCCTGTACTGATATTCAAGGGATCGTCGAACCAACCACTCGAGATGCATTTCGTAGAAAAGAATAAGAAAGAATTTTATCTGGATGAAATAAGAGGAGAGGAAGGCGAGGAGGGAAAGCTTATTCTAACCGTTCAACATGGGAGCTTGTTCGCTTTGCCGACACTAGGTAAACTCATTGTGGATTGCATGGAGTAACCGATCAGGCTTGCCATTGAAGGCGGCAAGCATTCACTAAATGGTCATTCATTTTGCATTGTAATGTTTCTGCATATCTATTTACTTGTGTACACATCACTTGTGAATATTTGTTAGTGTGAAGCAGGAGAGTTAGTGTTTAGTGTCATTGGTAGACTTCGAGTAAACTGCAATGGAGTAGGAGTGGAGGCAAGGAGACCTATTGTGTTCACAAACGATGGCAATTTTCAATGTGATGAGGACTGCTGATCGATTCACATCCAACTTATTGTAACTGTTCGTCAACCATGAATCAGCCTCCTTCTCATTCACGGTATAAGCAGAACAGCGAACATTGAGACTGTCCTGCTAGTCCTCATGTTGTTTAACGATGGCTGGCGATTGGTGAGAGCTTCACAACAGAATATGTGGTTGGAAATCAGATTTCCGATAATGTATAAACTCGTCTATTGTACACTGATAATCCGATGTTTCTTCATATTCTCAACGGTTATCACAATCCACCTATTTTTGAAAATATTCTGGCGATTGTTTTATACATCTCGTGTTTACAAGCCAGCTGTCTGTGGCCAGCTCAAGTAAACGACGGACTGGTTGCATCATTCCAAATTCACTTCTCTCCCCGTCGCTCTACAATCTCATGATAACTAGTACGGTGTGTTCATGTTTAAGGATTAACCTGGTATTTCCCTTATGAGTGATGATTGTGATGTGACAATTGATATTTTGCCCACCGTATTTGGACATTTCCGTTGTCGGCTAGTTGTGAAGTCATACACAACAGCAACCTTCGTTCACCGTATTCATAACATTTCCTGGGAAAGGTGTAATTAAATTTCTGTTGACCGAATTATGCGATAAGATATTTGTTTCACCTTGATAAAATTTTCACGTAGCCGTCTCACCATTTCACCCTATCCATTTCATGTTGAACCACATCGGCCATTGAATAAATGTGAGTTTATTCATTTATTCTTTACTGAGTGACTTCTGAAATTGCCTTTTCATAAATTTCACTTGTATTTCGGTGACCTGACTGTGACTGGACGTTTGCAGCTTGGTTCGAGATGAAAGTGAATAGTCTCCTATTAGGTAACCAGCATCGTTTGCTGGCAATGCGAATGAGGTGAGGCACCGAGAGATTGGGATAGGTGGAGGAAGTAATTCTCTTTCCTCGAAGGTGCTCAGAACTCAGGCTGAAAGTGGTTGTTTCAAAACTTGTCATTATGGATAAGAATGAAGCAGAAGTTAAAACAGTGTAGTGGAAAGTTGGAGCATGTAATGCACAAGTGAGTGAATGGTCACTCACAGCATCAGCTTTTATGGGAGGTGATGTGTAGTGTTTGCAGGTGCACTCCTATAAGACTGTGACCCGGTTCGATGGACTCAGCTTCCGACTACACAACAGTTGCCTTCAGTAAGAGCAGAGTGTATGATTAGCCAGCTCAGGGACTGGAAAATATGTGGATATTTCTTGGGAATCGAAGAAAATATACTCATGAAATACGTGAAGTGCACGAGACAGATTGTCTGAGATGTGTAAAGAAGATAGGAATGACTTAGTGTTCAAAACACTGAACGTCCGAAAGTGGCACATTCACGTATCCACTGACTGCGTTTTACCAGATTGCACTGTTACACAGAGTAATTGAAGAGTCCGTTGGACGACTTTGCGAGTCTGATATACGAATGCTGACTCGAAACCATATTCACGGAACATCTTCATACTCTTTGTGTACTCGATTTGTTTTGACCCACCACAAACATTGGAATTGTCATCTTGTAGTGTGCGTGGTTAATGTGAATATTTATATTTCATCAAGGATTTGTAAACTGTCATTTCCCTTGTAGAACATCACAGTTAGTGGTAAGTATTCAAACAAATAAGGCCTTTATTTCTATGTGATTAGACAAGATGAGTGCGGATGCATTGAGGGTGTGCAAAATAGTATTGTTAGCAGCTGTCTTTATCTGACCTTAGCTTCAAGTAAGCTACTTCTAGCCAACACCTTGAATCAAATTGCTAAAGCATGGCATGAGGAAATAGAACCAATGTGTAGATGCTTGCTGGGTGTGAGTGAATCAAAAAGTTGAAATCATAAAATTCTCATTCACTCATTGATCTCGACACTCTCAGTGCATTCATCAAGCCTTCCACGGTTGCATTGATTTATTCATTGATAATTGATACATTAATTCACGTGTTGATGGATGTAATGACGGACACGTTAGTGCAATATAGAATAGATTGAATAAAAATCTCCGCTCTCACTATCTCTCCCTCTCCCTCACTCCCACCCTCTCACTCCTCTCTCCGTCTTCCTCTCCCCCACACCTGTGTGTGTGTGCACAGTACCAGTGACGAGATCGACGGTTCGAATGGAAGACAAGATGGTGACAGGTGAGTGAGAGATAACTTGTTTGCATTTCCGATGTTTGACGATGTGATCAGTGGTGGGTGGCGTTTCATGTGATCAGAGTGCAGGTTGTCAGTGATGGAAGGAAGGTATTGATTAGGTTGTGGATAAGTGAGAAGTTGAGGAGTGAGTGGATGAAGTGTTGAATGACTGACTGACTGAATGATTGATTGATTGATTGGTTGATTGATTTCCTGAGGTGTGTAGACGTGTGAGGCTGAAGTGAGATATGGAAATGTGGTGAGTGATTGAATGAGTGAGTGAGTGAGTGATTCAGGCAGTCAGTCAGTCAGCTTGTCATGCAGATTTCCCATCAGTGATTCACTCACTTCTCTACAAGTAATCAGGTGACACAGGAGGTTTGCTAATCCGATTGACAGCTCACACATCACTATTTCACACATTTCCTCAATTTTTCATTCACTCACCCATTCAATCAATCATTCATTAATTGGTTCAATCATTCATTATTCATTCATTCAGTCATTCATTCATGCACTCCTTCATTGATTCAATCAATCAATCTGCAAGGATCAAAAAGTAACACAAAACAGAACAGCACACCACAGCACAGCACAGCACAGCACAGCACAGCAGAGGAGAGCACAACATAACTCAACAGAACACAACACAACACAGTGTCAATAAGTTTATAATTATATCTCTGTCTCTCTATATCTCTGTCACCCGCAATGTCACCCTCTAATTCTCTCTCTCTCTCACTCTCCCTCTACCTCTCCACACTAACTCACCATATCCCTCTCTTACTCTCCCTCCATCTGTGTGTGTGCACAGTACCAGTGACGAGATCGACGGTTCGAATGGAAGACAAGATGGTGACAGGTGAGTGAGAGATAACTTGTTTGCATTTCCGATGTTTGACGATGTGATCAGTGGTGGGTGGCGTTTCATGTGATCAGAGTGCAGGTTGTCACTGACGGAAGGAAGGTATTGATTAGGTTGTGGATAAGTGAGAAGTTGAGGAGTGAGTGGATGAAGTGTTGAATGACTGACTGGCTGATTGATTAATTGACTGTCTGAGGTGTGTAGATATGTGAAGCTGAATTGAGAGATGGAGATGGAGTGATTGAGTTTGTGAGTGAGGTTTTCAGGCAGTCAGTCAGTCAGCTTGTCGTGCAGATTTCCCATCACTGATTCTCTGACTTCTTTACAAGTATCCAGGTGACACAGGTGGTTCGCTAATCCGATTTACAGCTCACACATCACTATTTCACACATTTCCTCAATTTTTCATTCACTCACCCATTCAATCAATCATTCATTAATTGATTCAATCACTCATTCATTCATTTATTCATTCATTCAGTCATTCATTCATGCACTCCTTCAATACTTCAATCATTCAATCACCACCCATCGAAAAATAACACAAAGCAACACAAAGCAACACAAGACAACACAACACAGCAGAGCACAAGACCAAGCAACAGTACACAACAAAACACAACACAAAACAGCAGAGCACAGCGCAGCGCAGCACAGCACAGCACAGCACAGCACAACATAAATCAACAGAACACAACACAGCACAACACAACACATGACAGTGTCAATCAGTTTATAATTATATCTCTGTCTCTCCATCTCTCTGTCACCCTCAATCTCGCACTCTCACTCTCACTCTCCTCCTACCTCTGTGTGTGTGCACAGTACCAGTGACGAGATCGACGGTTCGAATGGAAGACAAGATGGTGACAGGTGAGTGAGAGATAACTTGTTTGCATTTCCGATGTTTGACGATGTGATCAGTGGTGGGTGGCGTTTCATGTGATCAGAGTGCAGGTTGTCAGTGATGGAAGGAAGGTATTGATTAGGTTGTGGATAAGTGAGAAGTTGAGGAGTGAGTGGATGAAGTGTTGACTGACTGATTGATTGATTGATTGATTATCTGAGTTGTGTTGATGTGTCAGTGTGAATTGAGAGATGGAGATTGGGTGAGTTAATGAGTCAGTCAGTCAGTCAGTCAGGTTTTCTTTGGTTTTTCACTTTGCGACTCTTCCCCTGTTTGCTGGTTTTAGTGCGCCGACGTTTGTGTGGATTTTTCGTACATATTAGGAACCCTTGAAGCATCATTTTTTCCTATCTTTTATGAAATTTCAAAAGTGAGGCAGAATATAGATTTTGCACTAAACAGAATTAGTCCTTACAGGAATCGCTGGTGCATAATCACGCCGGTTGTTGGAAGCCTTCGTGAATTCACTTGGCCGATATGTCTACACTCCTCTCGATGCAAGCGAAAGTAAACCTGGGGACATGGAATGTCCGCACCATGTTTGAACCTACCAAGGCTGCCTAGATTGCAAACGAGTTCAGAAGGTGTCGTATTGAAATGGTAAGAATTTGCGAAATCAGAGTTGTGGATTGGCTATCGTGATGTCTCCAACAGCATCAAAGGCTCTCATACAGTGGGAAGCTATCTCCTCCAGGATCACAACAGCAAGGTTCAACTCAAAAGGAAGGAAAGTCACAATCATTCAACGCTACTCTACTCACCCACAAATAATGCAGATGAAGAGAAGAAGGAGGAATTCTA